CAACATAGCATAAAATACACTTAACCTTATTAAGATCGGTTGTGTTACAGTACAGCCGCTAGGATTTTACACAACTGGAAATGCCCCAAAACTGCAGATCTGAAAGACTGGATTGATGGGATGATCGAAATCGCATCATATAATGAGAGCATGCAGGGAAGACTGAATAATGAAGGGGGGAATTAAAAATGAGGTAAATGAGCAGGACTGTTCAACAGTTGTATCATTTCCATGTTCTTTGGTCTTAATTGCATTCCTTTTATACTGGCCATGGCTGAATATGTGAAGGTGCATATTAAATGATGTGGTGATGTACTAAGTTCTAATTGTTGAATAAAAAAAAGTTGAATTACTAGAAGAGTCTTCTCAGGGATCTCGTTTTGGACCAATTTCAAGAAAACAAAACAAAAAAATATATATATATAAAAAAAGAGAGAGAAACACTGACCAATGTTATGGTGATGTTTTGATTAAACTGGCCCACTTGTGTGATTACAGTAATGCAGTTTTCACTAATCCTTCATGTCAGTCAGTAATAATCAAGTAATAATCTGATATCAACCCATCAATAATCGCTGTTTACATGGTAATTACTTAATCAACGGATCGTCTTAATCGGGTTAATATCGGAATATTCTTGTCCAGGTAAACCTACTGAGTGATTATTATTAGTGTGTGTTGTGGTGTGACGATATTGTGTGTCATTAGTGACTCATTTGTTTTTTCCAGGAATGATTGATGACAGCTGTTGCTCGCAGAAGGTCCTCTAGAAATGACTCAAATTTTCCCACATCCTTACCATTATATGCAACAACATAACCGCTAACTACCGCATACGGTTGAACTGAAACTGTCTCTCTTTCTCTCTCTCTCTGACTCATACACACACACACACTCACAGACACACACACACAGACAGAATTCATTAAGCAATTATGATTGAATAATACAGGTTGCATAGTATTAGTTAATTAATACATTCAGTAGTCGCTGCTGTGAGAATGTCAGTTAGTCCCAGCAGTGGAAAGAAACAGAGAGGCAGACTGTAAAGAAAGCAGCTAAATCTACTTTGTTAGTCTATAAATATTTCAAACTAGATGAAGCCAGTTCTACTCAACTGTGCATGACCCAGCACATGACTACACTGGTTTAAAAAAAAAAAATACTTTTTCCCCCCTTTTTTTTTCTTTAATGGACTGTGCTTTCACTTTGCATGAAGAGAGGAAGAATGTGTGAGACAGGTCCAGAAGGAATTCCTCCCACAGTTATTTTCGTTGTCCATGAAGTGAAATAAAATTTCAAATCCTTGTATGAAGGAGCATTTCAGGAGTCGCGGGTTGCACGTCACAATCCAATCCCGTTCAGCTAGTTTAATTCAATTCACTTTTATTTGTATAGCACTTTTAACAATGGACATTGTCTCAAAGCAGCTTTACAGAAACATATAAACACAGGAAACAGATTTTAAATATGTGAATTTATCCCTTGCGACAGTGGTGAGGAATGAGGGGATATGAGGAAGAAACCTTGAGAGGAACCAGACTCTGAAGGGAACCCGTCCTCATCTGGATAACAACAGATAGTTTGAAAGTAAAAGAAAGTTCATTATGGTTTTTATATGTCCTTTTTGTTGAACTAGTCCACTGTTCATTTAAGGAGACTTGAGTGTACTACTGCATGTGGTAATTGCAGTCCTAAGGCCATCGCAGCAACCGTAGTCCCAGCATCCACAGCGAGAATGTCCATGTGGAACTGAGGTCCAAAACCATTTCCATGGTACCTCAAGCAGTACCATCCTCAGCAATCTCCAGGCGGTAGCCTGAAGTTTAGCGTTAGATCAGCAGGTACAGGTTAATCAAACCTGTGCCAACAAAGCCAGCAAAGCTTGCGATTCAGTCTCTGTGTTGTTGTGTATACGATGAAGGGAGTATATTGGTCGTATGGTAGGGGCTTCACGAATCAGGGAAGAATGATCTGCACCCCCCCCCCCCACTTTCCCCCCTTTTTTCAAACATCTTCTTTTTTTGTTTCTGTTTACACTGAAACGCGAGCCCGGAGTTTTCAAACTAAAACGGGTCTTCGGTGTTTCCAAAAGTCTCCGTTTTCGAAGGGTCGAAAATGCAGGAGTAGTGTAGACTACAGGCGTAACCGTAGTGAAAGTTATGCATTTCAAAACAAAAACACACTAGTGTAAACAGGAGCTAGAGCACGACCCTAATGTTATATTTTTAATATGATGTGCTTCTTCTGAGAAGAAAATTTTCTAAAAGAGGTTGTAGCTTTTTTTTTTTAGCCCAAATTCACACTTTTCCAGAACATTCACTAATTTTTTATACATTTTTTTTCTTCTAATTATGCAGCTACTTTCCTTGTTTGGAGAACTAGTGTATACATTCCCTTCTTTTCCAGAACATATAGAAACCCTGAATATGATCGGGCCTCCTCTCAGGTGTCCGACACACACACACACACAGAGGGGCTTTCATTAATGACACATTTCACACACCCCCTGATGAGTCCTTCAGTTACTGTCTGACTCATCAAGGACACGGACACACACACACACACACAGACACACACACAGAGCCATGTGTGCTAGTGATAAAGGCAGAGCAGCACAACACCTGCCAAAACAACAAGCCCAGAAATCAAGGCCAGGGAAAGACAAATGAGACACCTAACACACACCAACACCTCTGATAGTGTGTACAGTGAAGGGGTTATCACATTCTGATACATATCATTTATACAATCTGTGATAATGATAAATAAGTCTTTATCGATCACATATACATATGCACAGTGAAATGATTTTCTTCGCATACCCCGGCTTCTCAGGAAGTTGGGGTCAGAGCACAGGGTCGGCCATGATACAGCTCGCCTGGAGCAGAGAGGGTTAAGGGCCTTGCTCAAGGGCCCAACAGTGGCAGTTTGGCAGTGCTGGGGCTTAAACCCTCGACCTTCTGCTCAGTAACCCAGCACCTTAACCGCCAAGTCACCACTGCCCTGTCATGCAAGATCATGTTTATTAATCAGAAACAGACTGAAAGGTTTGTAAAGTTAGCTGCCATGACTGTATGATGAGCAGAAATCAGGAAACAAAGACAGCAAAGAGAAAAATGAACAACCAATACCAAAACACATGGATATTAACTGTTCAAATCCAGGGACCCACAGTCCTGGTGCAGGGACATAACACACATAACACACATGCATAAATACATTGGGAGAAAAAGAAGAGTGTGAGGAAAGTAGGATGCAAGAGGGCTGAGATGAGAAAGAAAGGTTTTTATACTCACTGAAGCTCCACTATAACTCTTTCTCTTTCACCACAGAGCTCTCTCACAGTTAGCTACAGTTAATTAACACTGGTTTAGTAAACAAAAAAGAACTATGTGCACACTGGAGGAGGATCACAAGCGCAAAAGATTTCAATTCAGTTCGGCCAGCGATCATAAAGTCCAAGTCAATTCGAAAGTAATTTCTACTTTGGCAAATCAAGTCCAAATTATTGAAAATTCTTAACTTAAATCTTAAGTCTATAGAACAACAGAGAATGCCAGAGAGAGAGAGAGAGAGAGAGAAAGAAAAGATCATCTTCATCCTAATAGACAAAACAGCATCACCGCTGCTCCTCTTGACACACATCTCTCTCTCTCTCTCTCTCTCTCTCTCTCTCTCTCTCTCTACCTCGATCTCTATCTCTCTAACACACACACGCTATTTTTCTGCCCAGTGATAAGCTTCTTCGATGTCATGTCCACAGCTCCCAGTGGCATTTTATTATAGCCATTAGTTTATGACACATCCTCCATATTGTCCTCCATATCTGCAAAAATGCATCTACTCTCTCAGGAGCATAACACCATTCCCAGTAAATACGTTCCACACTAAATTTATGTATGTAAAATCATGCAAACGTTAAAAAAAAGAACGAAAAAACCTGCTAAAACACAAAAAAGGAAGCTGATTTACTAGCAGGGTCTGCTGAGGATTTCACATGAGACTTTGAGCAGGTTCTACCTTAAAATACACGGTGATATGAATTAACTCCATCGACCCGTAATGTAATTTATTAACGCCAAAAGCCATTTCAGAGATGATGACTGGGAGCGCAAATTAGTGCGACTGAAGGGCAGGTATTAACATTTGCAGCGGCTGAGTAGAAAATTGCACCGTTTACAAGGTTTTAATAATGAGAAGGATTGTCACGATTATGCCTTAGTATCTCCAAATGATCAGATTTATAATTATAGTGATGAAATTGGTGTGATATTCGATATTAGATATTCTCTGCATGTTCACACCTCTGATGTCAGCACTGTTTAAGTAGAGACTGGGAAAAGGTTTGTATTATGAACAAAATAGATAATTGTTTATATTACATTCTGATTCTTTTGTGGCATCTCATCATCTTTAATTGAAACTAGACTCAGAATTATTTTTAGTTTTACTCTCCCAGGATCTTGTCACTGTTCTGAAGCAATAACATAATTTAAGAGCAGAACGGTGGCGCATTGCTGTCTCATAGCGTCAGGGTCCCCAGTTTTTTCCTGAGCTTTGTTGCTTTCTGTTCGGAGTTTCCTCATATTCCCTCCATGTTAGGTCCCAAATCTCTTGCTCAGTGATCCACCGCAACCCTGACCAAGATAAAGCAGTTACTGAAGATGAATGAATGAAAAAAGAAATGCTTGTTACTTGGAAACTTAGTAAGGGTTGTTGCATGTTCTTCCTTAACTGTTGGTTTCAGTCACTGGATCTTAAGAAGAAAAGTTAAGCTCAAGGTGTTGGCTGGCATTGATATTCCCTGCTGATATCTTCTAGTAGTGTTTATCAGTGAATAGCTAAAAGGTTTTTACTCTGGGAATCATGTGACCAAACTGGGGAAATCAATTAAACATGGACTGTGGAACACTTGAAGATAATAGCCTATGTGACATCTGTGTGAAATATTACTGTACATATGTGCTGAATTTTTGTTTTTTCTGCCTTTTTTTTTGGGAAGTGGTAATTCAGTGGTTAAGATGCTGGACTTTTGATCGGAAGGTCGTGAGTTCAAATCTCAGCACTGCTGGGCCCTTGTGCAAGGCCCTTAACCCTAAACTGCTCAGTTGTATAAATGAGATCATGTAAGTCTCTCTGCATAAGGGCATCTGCCAAACACCATAATGTACATGTAAAATGTAATATAAACTAGTGATGTGCTGCGTGTGATTGTAGGCAGAACTCAGGAAATGTTGTTTGCACCTATCAGCCTTAGAAACTGATTAGATTTCAGATTTGCAGTTAGATTTGCAACTCCGAGCCGCGTCCTGTTACACCCTCCACACTTCCTGTTCTGTCAAATGCACAATGGTGAGGGACTTATGATATTATAAAGCAAGCCAGGTAAATGCAGGGGATCCCAAACCAAGAGCCACAAACACAAGAAACAAATCCTAATAAAGATGGACAATGAACCAATGGGAATGGATCATTTCCCAAACAGGAAAACAAACAGAAAATAGTATTAGTTAAAATGCTTCTATAAGGGACCCATGCTGAGCTACTTCAAATGGGTCCAAAATAGGAACCCTTGAAGAATGATAAACAGGCTCTCTTGACACAAATGAATTCCAGAGTGCATGTGCATATACAGTATCTGCACAAGTCCTTGCCCTGAGTGGCAACCTCTGTAGCTTTCTTTCAGAAAATGATAATTATTCCAACCTCTAATGGTCCATTCTCAGCTCTTCATGCTATTACGCCTGGCACACAAAGACACACACAAAGACACACACACACACACACACACGATTACATGGATAGACTGTTCTTTGTATCCATTACTGCTTCAGATTAAAAAGGCATATATTTGATGTTCATCTTCAAAAGAAGACAAGGGGACAGCTGAAACTTTTTATGGCTCAACATACACACACAAATACAGAGAGAGAAATACATCCAGACGTTATAAACACTACAGATACGGCTTATCAGTTTTGGGGAAAGAAATATATACACACAGACGGCTGGCACGGTTTCTGTCCAGTCGTCCCCTTAGAGGGAACAGTCACTGCAGAGCAATGTAAATGGTTCTGACTGATACTATATGAGGAAACATTTCTATCCACGAGTGTGTGACAGGTCTAGATCGAGTACACTGTCTGAACATGTCCATGACACACAACAGACTCGAAGTACTAGAGGGCCCTATAGATCGTGTCATGATGGAATTTCCGGAGCTGGTGTTTGTTCAGGTATCCACTGATCGTGTAACAGTTTCCTAACAAAAGGCATGAAATAACAATAAGAGTGAGAACGTTTCATCTCTGAGAACATATTTCAGGGGCACAGTGGCTTAGTGGTTAGCAAGGTTGAATCGCAACTGCAGGGTTGGGGGTTCTGTGTGCACGGAGTTTGCGTGATCTTCCCATATTTTGGGGGGGTTTCCTCTGGGTATGCCAGTTTCCTCTCCGATTGCAAAGATGTGCATTGTAGGCTGACTGGTGTTACCAAATTGACCGTGATATCTGAACGTGTGTGCGATCGTTCCCTGTGATGGGTTGGCACCCCATCCAGAGTGTCCCCCGCCTCGTGCCCCAAGTTCCTTGGGATACACTCCAGGCTCCTCCTTGTGTAGGTTAAGCGGTACGGAAAAACGGATGGATGGATTTCCAACGCAAGTAGCAGCATCTGCTTTTATAATATCACAGCAAATGTAGAAAATGTCGAAAAACTACTGCCATAAAAACTCGCAACGCTGCTGATTCAGCCAGAAAAAAAAGCCAGATGAGCACAGTGGAGTAATTGAGGGTGAATATGTTAGGTGAATTCTGTCTTCAGAAATAAATAAAAAGCTGGTGCAAATAGAAAATTTACTATGATGAGCAGCGCACTGTAATAAACTACTTACAGTCAGTATAAGCCTATAAAAGTGCATTAGCTCTCTCAGGTGGTCTGTTGTGCAGTTTAAGAAAAAAATTGGCTGCTTGTTTTTTCCGAGCATCATGAAGAACCTGCCAGTTTCGCTGGCTGACACACTTCCTCTGTTTGTGCTGGTAACAGCAGACGGCCTCCATTATGTTTTTATCTGAAAAGTGGTCTGTTACTTAATATGTGACTTTCTTTAACAGCACACACAGATTTTGCTTCTTTTTTTATCTGGAAAATGAATGCTTCTAAACCTACGATGATAAAATTTAGGGGACTTAGTGGTTGGCAAGTCTGCCTCGCACCTCCAGGGTTGGGGATTCGATTCCCTCATCCGCCCTGCATGCGTGGAGTTTGCATGACCTCCCTGTGCTTTAGGGGGGTGTGTATGAATGTGTGTGCGATTGTGCCCTGAGATGGGTCATCCCCGAACCTGTGCCCGAGTTCTCTGAGATAGGCTCCAAGCTCCCTGGGACCCTGTGTAGGACAAGCCGTACGGAAAATTGGATGAATGCATAAAATTTATACGAAAACTAGGGTGCTTAAAATGCACCTATTATGGTTTTTCAAATATTCCCTTTCATGTAGTGTTATAGAACTGTTTGTGAATGTAAAAAGTCTGCAAAGTTTAAAAAAAAAATAAAAGTGGAGCATAACAAACGGTTATTGACTCCCAAAAGAAGGAACCGATTCTGAATGGCTGAAACGAATCGTTAGTGATTCCAGACTTACTTCCTGTACAAACCTACGTAAGTTAGTAACAAAAAGCCCCACCTCTGGTCTCGCGACCAGAGCTGAAACTCGTTATGGTAGCGGACATTTCCTTTTTGAAACATCGCTGACAGCGGTAGACCAATCACAACAGACTGGGACATCTGACCAATCAGAGCAAAGTATGCTCTCTGAAAGGAGAGTTTAAAATGAATGCTTTAGAACGAATCATTTAACAAGTCGTTTTTAACACTGAGGGAAGAAATGTAATACTGCAATTATGAGCACAGTAAAGTGTTTTTGTGACCTTGGATGTATGTAAATCTATTGTATGAGACTTTTAAAACAAAATTAGGCACATTTCAAAACCATAATAGGTGCGCTTTAATATATTTGCACAGCACTGTATAATTCACACAGTGCATCAATATGATTCACACAAAAAATACATATTTTTTTTTTTAAATGGACTAAAGTCAATGAAAGGTCCAAAGTCAAACTGAGCTGATTGAAACTGACAAAAAAACTGGACAGATAAAAACAGAGGCTTGAGTATATTCAGTGGAACCTGAAGTAAAACCAGAAGAAACACCAATAAACAATGCTGGTTTACAGTGTCAGACTCGCACTCAATGCCTGTTCACCAGACACATCAATCAGGAAGTAAGATGGCCAGTGTGCGTGTGTGTGTGTGTGTGTGTGTGTGTGTGTGTGTGTATGTGTGTGTTACAGGCGGGGAGTTCCCAGAACAATCAATTACCCAGGGAGCTCTAAAAGCCAACAAGGCCGCTCTCGTTCCCAGAGTTCTCCATTGTGTGTGAGCGGCTCGGTTTTCAGCAGCGACGCCGAGCCTCCATTTACAGCCACCGACACTCCCAATCCAATTACAGTGCACTCAGCACCAGCAAGCACCCTCACAACCACACACAGGAATTAATGGCCTCCTCCATATGTACACTATGAGGAGTTTAACTCGAATGTAATCACAGACCGATGAGTCTCACCATGCCAGCGCCCTGAAGCTTTTAGCCACAGAGAGATAGTGTAATTTAATGACGATGATAATCACATGGCTGGTCAATAGGAGGAGCCAGGACACCGCCTCCTTTAAGTTACCCAGAGAAGGCTATTTAATTTATTAAACATAAGTTATATATATATATATATATATATATATATATAAATAAATAAAATTACTTAGTCATATTATTTGCCTCGTAGTCATGATAGCATTTATTAAAAAATGAAAAAAAAAAAATAATAATAATAAATAAATAAATAAACCAACATTGTTTTTCGTTCATATCTGTGTATCTTTGGCACCGGCCAAATGAGTGTGTATGTAGATCCTTAAATTTCTGAACAGCAGGTGATTCGAGGCTGCTCACGAATTGGCTTGCGTCATATTGTCCTTGTATCGCAGGTCATTGCACCCCGGACACTCCCACTTTTATTGCTAGCGAGTCAATATTGTTTTTATATTCTTTGACCTCATGTGATTGGACTGTTCTCAATGACTCTCTTTCCCACTCAGCAGTCAGTTGAGATACACTGCAAAAGATTGTTAATAGAAGTAGAAGTAGGCGCAATATTGTGCGTGTGTGTGTGGGTCAGCGTGTAGTGGTGAGGGTTATGAGCCATACACTCCCACACAGATGTGCCCACTGAGGCGTACACTGAGAGAAGACGAGTGGCTCGGCACAGAGCAAGGCTGCTATTAACATCAACATGGAGCAGGCTGTTATTAGTAGAGCCTGTGCTCTGCTAATAACCAAAAAAACAAAAACTGTCTGTGATCAATCATTCCAATGTCACCTAAATGCTACAAGATTTTCTATAAATAGAAAACATCCTGGAATTAGATCTGTGTAGTGTTCCGCATGTTCTCATTGTGTCTGGTTTCTTCAGGGTTCTCCAGTTTCCTCCTACCTCCCAAAAACATGCTGCGTGTTGGACTGGTGTGTCTGTGTGTGCGTGTGTGTGTGTGTGTGTGTGTGTGTGCATGGTGCCCGGCGATCGATTGGCAGCTCATCCAGGCTGTATTCCAGCCTCACACCCAGTGCTCCTGGGATAGGCTCCGGATCCGCTGCTCACCCTGACAGGAAAAAGTGCTTACTGAGAGCACTTATCACATCCCGCACTGCACCACGCTCCGTCCGATCCTCTAGCACTGCTCGACTGGTCCCACCATCTCTCTCTCAGGTTACAAAGAAGGCATGCATCAAGACTCTTTTCTGTTCTGGCACCTAGGTGGTGCAATGAACTTCCCCAAAATGTCCAAACAGCTGAGGCTTCGAACAACGTCTAAAGACCTACCTATTGCTAAAGTACTTCAATTTATATCTATATCTATCTATATCTACACACACACACACACTCATTCTTTCTTATTTTTGTTAGAATAATAGACACTTTATAATAATAATAATAATAATAATAATAATAATAATA